AAATTACTGAGAAGTAATGTTGTCAGCTTGAGGACTAAGGCGTGTCTGATTCAAGCCATGGCCTTTCTGAACACTTGCTATGCATCTGAGAACTGGACAATGAATAAGGATGATAGAACTGGGCTGTGGTGTTGGAGAAGAGTACTGAAGATCCCATAGACTGTCAAAAAATGTCTTGGAAAGGATACAGCCAGAGTGTTTTCTGGAGGCAAAGATGACGAGGTTTCACCTTTGGTTGTTGCTAGGAGGGGTTATTCCTTGGAGAGGGACATGATGCTTGAAAGGTGGAGGGTTGGGTGAGGGAGAGGAAGACCCTCAACCAGGTGGATTGACGTGGTTACTGCTGCAAAGGGTTTTGGTGTGTCAGGAGGTATAAGGATGGCACAAGATAGGGACAGGGTTCTGATCTCTTGTTTGTAGCGTCGCTATGGGTCATACTCGACTCAAAGACATCTAACAACAACAACCTGTTTATTTATGCAATACGTGAAATGAGTCTGCTTTCTTGACCAAGCCTAGGTTTGTATACATGATTTCCCTATAAAAGAGTCCAAGGCAAAGATTAAATCCCCCTACTTTATAAAAAGTGCAATTCATGAAGGCAAAGTGCAGAAGGGAGGCCCTGATAGCGGAGATGGAATACAAATATAGACGGATAAATTCCAGAAAGAGCTTATTGCTAGCTAATGAAAAGTCATGAGGAGGCACTGTTAATCCCTTATCAAGCACATTTTGCTTAACCACATGGTACATCTCTGAACAAAGGAGATGAAAAAATGCCATTAAACAATCTGTTAAAAGCAGGTGGTGGAATTTATCTGACAGGTTTTCAAGCCCATTGTTGCTGGCAGCTAGTTAACTCACTGCTCTACTAGGTTGATTTTGGTTGGGGTTATTGAAAAACCTAGATTGCGGATCAGCCATCCTAGACTTTATGACTGTCTCATCCTCCTGCAGGCAATGCTATGAGCGTATGTTCTTTTGGTGACAGCAGAAGCAAAAAGAGTGAACAGAAATACAGTAGACCTTTAGAAATGCATTTGGCCCAGAATCAGCAAGGGTACTTCAAAAGGACCATGACTACAAAGAGGGCAAAAATAGGGCAATTTTTGCAGTCTATCATACTAAAGAAAAACAAGACAAGTACAGCCAACTCATTGTTCTAACAGGTATTATCCTCTTCTTTGGGGAAGAACTTAAGATTTTTATCTTGCCTTAGTTGTAAATTAGACATTTTATGATCTATGTGGGTCATTTCTCAGATGCCAGCTCTGAGATGAGCAAATGAGTGATAAGATTGTTCTGTTTCTTTCATTCTTCTCCTTTTTTTCTATTTTTAACTGTTCAGTTGGTTTGTACAACCAGTTAAATGGCAATAGAATTTGGCTCAGAGACGTCCAAATTTAGCCCAGAGAAATCCAACCTTGGCCCTGTTTAAATCGACCAAGGCTTCCTCTGTTCCTAGGGCCAAGTACTAGACATGAAGAAATCCATTTTAATTCCATTCTTGTAAAATAATTTCTAAACAGGCAAGCCAGTTCATTTGGCTAAGATGATGAGGGCCAATAATGTTCAAATTTTATATAATCCACATTCCTTTTTATGAATAGCAGTCAGTAAAAAGGTAACAGAACCAAATCCCAAGTCTAGAACATGTTCTGTTCTAATAGCATGGACTTTGCATCTTTAGGTTTCAGTTGTCCAGTCAGAGGATTGCTCTAAATGATTTTAAATTGTGTCTTGTGGAACACTATTTGCACAGGATACTAACAATTTTGTTGCTGCTGCTAAGTGTCATCGTCAGCTGATTCATTAAGATTAAACAAGACCCTGCCCAACACGACCTGTTGTTTAAGCACATTGTTGCAGCCATGCCAATCCATCTCCTTAAATGTCTTCCTCTCTTGATCCTCTACTTTTCCAGGTATGCTGTCCTTTCCCAGGCCTGACCCCTCTTGACTCAATATGCTCAATATAGCTGTCAAAAAGAATAAACAAGTCTGTCTTAGAAAAAGGGTAGCCACAGTACTCCTTGTTGTTCAGTGCCATTGAGTATAACTCATAGTAACAACAGATCTAAATAGTGTTCTGTACTGTGCCATCTTCACACTCGGGGACATACTTGAGCCCTTTGCTGCAGTCACTGTGTCAGTCCATCCAATTTATGGTCTTCTTTTCACCAACCCTACACCTTTCCTAGCAAGATGTCCCTTTCCAAGGACAGCCTCTCCCAGCAACATTCCTCTATTAGCACCTTGTACTACTAGTCAGATGTATAGCACTGGGCAAGTCTGTAGTCAGGGACCTCTCCAAATTATTGAGGAGCAATGATGTCAGTTTTAGGACTAAGGTGCATCTGATTCAGGCTATGGTCTTTTCAATCACTTGCATCAGAGAGTTAGACAATGAATAAGGACAACAGAAGAACTAATGCCACACTTAAACTGTGGTGTTTGAGAAGAATGCTAAATATACCATGGGCTGCCAAAAGAACAGACAGGTATGTCTTAAAGAAGGTACAGTCAGAGTGCTCCTTGGAGGCAAAGATGATTTATCTCACATACTTTGGGCATATTGCTTGGAAAGGTGGAGGGAAGGCAAAGGAGAGGAAGATCCTCAAACAGGTGGGTTGACATGGTCACTGCAGCAATGGGCTTGAACTGTGTCAGAGATTCTGAGGATGGCATATGATAGAATAGTGTTCAGATTGTTTGTTCATAGGGTTGTTATGAGTCATACTCTACTCGATGGCAACTAACAACAAACAACATGCCCAAACTATGTCAGACACTGAAGAATGCTAACAAATGTGACACATTTTAAAGAAATATTCCCTTAAAATTAAAAATTCTTACGTATTTCAAGACTTTTCAGAAACTTTTTATTACGCTGTGCCTTTTGAATCTCCAAGAAAGGAATATATCCTATTTACCCCCAAAACTCATAGTTTGCTAATAGATGTTATGTATCCTAGAGAATATATTTTGAAAAATGTGGTTATTTCTAATATCAAAATGAGTATTTTTATCAAGCAGAGTCCCAGGAACTGAAGGCAACTTTCAACCAGGACATTTGAGAAAAATAAAAATTACTTAGAAAGATGTGGGCAAATGGTATCGAGTATCTCAGAGCTAACACAGCTGGAAACTATTACCATCCTGAGGTAAAAGGGTGACAGGAGGGAGCAAGGGCCAGTACGTGGGGTAATGTTTGGGTGGGAGGCCTCCAGGATCATGAATTCAGGGGAAGGTAACTGGGATATATTCTCAGGAGGAGATGCCTGACAGGGTGGCCTTCAATAGAGGGGTGCAGCCAGCCCACAGGGACCTGACAGGAAGAGAGGCAGGAAAAGAAACAGGATTTCAACCTCCGTCATTGTTCCCCAATTGACAACTCCAACCTGTAGTCAGAGGGTAAAGGACCTATCTCTCTGAACAGGGAATAGAAAGCAGAATGAATGATGTATCCAGAGAAGCAAACAGAAGTTATGCATCACAGTAGGGCTCTATTCTCGAGTAGCTAGGTGATTAAAAGATGATACCAGGGCTGCCCTCTTTTTATCACCTCTTTTTGCTTTCTTTAGCTGGCTTTGTTCTAAAGCAGGCAATTAACTCATGCCAACACAAACACCTCTAGATTTTTATCATTCTTAGTTTACCATTCAAATGGGGAAAAAAGGGTGGGGGGGAAGCATGAAAACACATAAATAGCACTAACCACATGCCAAACATTGTTGAAAGCCTTCAGATATATTATTTCCATTAATCCTCACAATCATCCTATGACTTATTTTATTATCTATTCTTTGTACATGAAGAAACTATTCTTTAGATGATAAAGAGGAAAAGCACTCATTTAGAACCAGGCAGCCTACCTCCAGAGTCTGTGCTTTTAATCACACCATCCTGTCATTTGAAGAATCCCATTTCCTACAGCATCCTGATTTCAGCTGTCAAAAAGGACACTGGTGCTATTGGGTCAGCTTCTTATTGCTGGGTCAATCATTGTGTTCAGGAGCGGGGAGCATTTGGTTTCTTTAACTGGATCATATTTTCCAGTGTTAACAACCTGCTCTGCAATCCCAAAGGCATGTGATTTGAATCCATCAGCTGCTCCATGGGAGAAGGGTGGGCTTTCTCCTCCCGTGCTACTTACTGCCTCTGAAAACCTGCTGGAGGGCCAGCTATGAGTCAGTTCCAACTTGACAGCACATAACAACATGGCAGAATCACCTAAGTGTAGTAACCTTCCTGCTCTCCCTCAAAAATGTCAGCCAGATGTAATATGTAGCATATGTCTATTCTATCTCAAAGACAATTTAGATTTATGTAAACAGTTCTAGAGACTGGAGTTATAATTCTAACAGTGCTTATATTTGCTGAAAATTTTTTTTTTCATCTACAAGTTCTGGTGGTTTAGTGGTAAGGAGCTGCACTGTCAACCCAAAAGCATATGGTTCTACCAGCTCCTCTGTAGGAAAATGAAGGGCAACTTCTTCCTGTGTGATTTACTTCTTCTGAAAACCCACTGGTGCGTAAGTTATGAGGTGGTTCTAACGCCACAGTATATAACAATATACATGAAAGAAAGACCTCTACCAAAATGAAAATAATTTACATAGGTGGTGGCCTAGTGGCAAGAAGCTGCATTGCAATCTCCAAGGCACGCAGTTTGAGCCCACCAGATGCTTCATGAAAGGACAGACAATCTTCTCCTGTGCGATTAACTGCCTCTGATAACTTGCCAGAGGGCCAGCTATGGCTTGGATTCTAACTCAGTGGTACACGACACATCAATTATTAGGATGTTATAATGAAAACAAGATATGACAAGCTTGTGCATATAAATTTTGAAATTAAATTTCCAGCCAATACTATGGGTAAAAGGAATGAAAAACTGGTCTTATTGACATTATACATGATCATTTATAAGAAAAAGGAAATCATGGCTATGTTTATTAATTTTACCAAAATAAAATCATAAAAACATTTTTTGAAATATTAATGGATAAGTTTTTTTGCTTCTTTGTTTCCAGAGCATTTGGCAGTTTTTATCAACTGGTGCATGAAAGAATAGAAAAATAAGAGATTATCATATTGTCCCATGTATTTCTCTTTCAGTATATCAGTATGGTAGTCTACTAGAAAATAGTAAATGGCTTCAATTGTGGACAGGAATGTATCTGGCTTTCCTTTTTGATGGCGCCAAAAACAAGTTTTTCTCGATTTCAACTCAACTTGTAATAATCCTGAAGGAAAAAAAGAAAAGTATATTTCATATTAACCACAGGTTTTAACACAATATTCCTTTTAATTACCCTTAGAGTTTTTTAAGAATGGTGAGAAACTCCTTCAACCTCAATTCCAAACAAGATGTGTTCATAAATGCAGTATGACAAACAATATAAGCCATAAAATAAAATTTTAATAGATGACATTACCTTTAATTCTTGTTTCATGAAGCAAGGAGTGAAAAGCAGTTAATATTTAAGAAGCTCACTTCTTTCCCTGTCTTGCAGTATCTTTGAACTTTTAGGCCATGACAAGACTAAATGTTCTGATTTTTAGATGGGCAAATTGCCTTGGATAAATTTACATCCAGTTTATCATTCTGAAACTTAGAAGGCAGGCAGCCCAATGAAACTTAGAAGGCAGGCAGCCCAATGATCCTTAATACTAATAAAAGTTGACTTCTAGAAGATCAGTTTTGACTATAGTTCTAAGAAGTGAGTACCCAGAATTGTTTCTTTATCTTCTATCTATCATATTATGTTCCAAAGCCTCACAAAACAATTCATGAGATCACGGAACAGTACTATAACTTTAACCCTGGTGTCAGCCTACAAACTAGAATGGTTTGAGACCTCAGACAAACTTGGAACCACATTAGTTATTTTGCCATCCTTATTTTTAGCATATTTTAAAGAAAGAAGGGAGCATCAAAAATAGCCCACTAATTTAGATATGGAATTTCTGAGTTTACTGATGTTCTACTATCCCCTCCTACATTAAAAAAAAAATCATGAAATCTTTTGCTCTCCCTCAGAAATGTAGCAGAGAGTAACAAGGAATAAAAGATGTTAAGACATGCATAGGATTACAAGCCTAATAGGAGTCCCAGAAAGCGAGCACAGGGAGAATAGAGAAGAAACAGGTTTTTTTTTGTTTTTTTTTTTTTTTTTGAGAAGAAACAGTTTTAAACTTCAAGAATCTAATTCTTGACCTATCTTTATTATAATTTTTGTGAGAGCTAAATGAAGTAGTAGTGTGAAACTTATGAGAGCCAGATCTTAACAGGAAAGCTTTGTTTTTTCCAGTCTTATAAACTTTCCGCTTTTGACAAGGTGCTTTCTTACCACATTTTACTCGTTTTAACAGAAAACAGTGGTGCTTCTTTGCTCTAACAAGCTTCTAACTGATATAGGTTCTGGTTTTGCTCAAACTTTTATGTTTAAACACACTAAGTACCATTTAGACAATACTTACACTGGAAACAAAGAGGTGTCACTTTAAAAATGTTAACAATACAGTCAAAATAAAGGGAAAGATATTAAAAGTACCCTGCTATTTTTATTCATTTGGATTCCCTCTCAAACATAAAAGAAATCATCCTTCTCTCCACATCCTTCCCAGGCTTCCTTTGAATCCTCAAGAATGTTATGTCAATTCTTCATTTACAGGTTTATGCTGACATTTTATGATTCAATCAGACACTCAATCTTCAAGGGTTTTATTAAGATAATGAATGTGTGGCCTTTGGACAGTGGTAAAATAACTAGAGCAATTTCTTTGTATAGTTGGCAAAATAGTTTTACACTGGTACAAGGGTTCTAAACCTTAGCACCCACGCATGAAGTGCCCCCATGCATAGCCCGAGTATACTTTTCTAGGCATTTTGAAAATTATCTTCAGAAGGATGTTGCTTGCAGAGGAAGATGAAAGACGGCTGAACTGTGTGTTGCATGGAACTTACTGCCTCATGGCCTGCCTTCAGACAACTTTGGTTTGAGTCTTTTTTCTATTGCCTTTATTACTTTTTTAACCTTTAACAGGTCTGTTTACCACTCTGGAAGCCCCTTTTCCATCTGTGGAAGGAGAAAATAATAATACCTAATTCAAGTTACAATTAGGCTACTTGGTGGAGACGAAGTGGGCAATGATGGTGGAGCTAGCGACAGAAGTGCTGTCCCTGGCCACATTCCCCAATAGGGTGCAAAGTCAGGACCTCAGAAGAGCTTTGGTGGGGGAGAGCTGCCCGGCTCCTGGAGAGTGCCACCTGCACCCTTGGGAGAGCCACCTGGTATGTATGAGGACCTTAATCTAAGCCACTTTCCTCCATCTCCTCCTCCATTACCCCTGTAAGTAACACCTCCAAAGTCCTTTTCTTTGTAACTCACAAGTTTGTTCTCTCTAGGTTTTCTCCCTTTTTTATAGGTAACTGAACACTGAGTCCTGTTCCAGAATCTGAACCCTGAGCTCAGTTCCAGAGACAAAAGGGAAATATAGCTGCCAGCTAAGGAAGCGGAGATGGATGGAGCCTCAAAGTTCAGCCAGCCACTCTCACTGGACTCACCCGTTCAAACACCCTGCAGTCCAGAGGGCAGGAAATATCAGAAAAATATCTTCTAACTGAACAAGAAGGCATGCAGCTTCAACTCAAGACCACTAGTAATGTGTTAAAATGGGCTCCTATTCCTCTTCATCTCAATGTCCCTGTTCAACATGAAGCAGCCCTATTCCCAAGTAAGAAACCCACAAATAAAAAAGACAATCTGTTTGAAGAAAAAAAAAATTAACCACCATTGGACTATGCCCACCATTACCCTGTCTTTTCCAGTCCCCACCAGATCTTTCTCATTTCCTTCATCTACTCCCGCCACCCATCAAATTGTGCAACCCTGTGATTTCATCCCTACCCATCCTCACCCTTCTGCTCCCACCCCTTATCCCCTGGATGCTTTTCACAATTAAAAAAACAAACAAAAACAAAACAACAACCAAAAAACAAATAACAAAAAAAACAAAAAACAAACTTATCACCCATACTAAAATAGCAACAGAAACTTAAGAATTCCAATACATAACATTTGAAGATTTTAGCTGAGGCTTCCAGCTCATTTGATCAACTCAATTTCATATAATGATAAAATAACTTAAAACCAAAAGTTAATGATTGATAACAAATGTAGGTTTTACTTTTCTCTTCTGAAAGTAATTTATCTCATCCAGAAACTGGTGTTCCAGCATTTCAAAAACACACAGGACCTATATGTTCAAAGCCCCAGTTATTCCCAGGGGGGTGTGATAAGAAGTCAGAAATGGCAGAAGTTGAAACAGGACATGAGTAAAATGTCTCTAGAAACTGTTTATTTCATTATTGTAAAAACATTTTTAAAAACTTTTGAAAATTTGATCTGTCACAAGAGTGAAATATATGATTTTTTCCCCCTCTGTGATTTTGGAAGGAATAACAGAAATACTTTGCACAGATCTGATTTTAGACAGGGCTGAAATACAAATGTGAACACTCTTGAAAGCAGATTTTGAATTGCACCTCAAATATTCCTTTTATAGTTTTTTCAAGGTTTATCCTTCAGTGTTTTCAATTACCATATAAGGTAATTATAATAATGGTTCTGAAAAAAATAAAAGTCTCCAAACCAAAGAGGAAGTTGCTGTTGAACTATCCAAGTCAATGTGGCAGGCAATGCTCCTTCTTTCTCTTCCAAGGAGCAGGGCCATAGGGCTCTGTATCTCTCTTAAAAATCAGCAACAATCTCTTTCAGCTCTTGTTCTCTGCAGTACATCCTACATACACAGATACAGCCTCACCTTGCCTGTTACCCCACAGCCACATTTTTTATCTATCACATTTTTATGTGAAAATCATACAGATAATTAGAATGTCCAAGAAATTCTCCCAGCATATACAGAGAACTCCTGTAAAGGACAAACTCTATCAATTATTCTTGTTAAGTCTAGCAGTCATTCATTTTCGCTTGGGACTAGAGAACATAAATCAGACTCCTAAAACTATTTCAAGCTTTCTTTGCTAGATGACATGTTTTTAACACGAGCCTGGAAGATTGCTCTCCAAGACTGAAACTGCTCTGGCAACTGCTGAATAACAACTGGATAGGTTTTTTTGCTTTCTAATCACACATTAGGTACATCACAGAGCCAGAAAGAATATAAATGTTCTAGAAAAACTTCAGAATAAGCCTGAAGGACTGAGTAAAGTGAAAGGGAACAAATGAGGTATTATGCGCTCCTGTTCTTCATGTTGGAAATTTTGCTGCTGAGGCAAGTAAGGCTTTTTTAAAGAAACTATTTCTTTTATAAAAAAAAAAAAGGACAGAGACGAAAAGATCTCCTACTTCTATAATATTATAGTGAATCAATGTCAAATGATAATATGCATAAAATTATAAACTCCACCATGAAACAAAAATGTGATTACTTGGTAAGCTATATCAAAACTGTAAAAAAAAATACTTAATTTTGACTACATTAAAAATATACCACCATTCAGTATGAATGCTGACTCCATTAACAATTACTACAGTGCTGTTAAGTGCCTTTGGGTCAAGTATGACTCATAAAAAGCCTAGAAATTACAGATCTGAACCCTGTCCTATTCTGTGACCACCTCGCAATCACATGGCTGTAGTCACTGTGTCAGTAACTATTAACAGTTCATATACGTCAGGCATATTGTTGTTGTTGTGTACCATAGAGCAGGAAGTGACACACAGCTGACCCTCCAGGGGGTTTTCAGAGGCAGTTAACGCCACTGGAGGACATTGCCCATCTTTCTTCTGTACAGCACGGCTGTTGGTGCCTTGGGCATTGCAGTACAGCTTCTCACCACTAGGCCACCAGAGCTCCCTTTGTCAGGCACATTAACTGCTGCAAATTAATTCATTTATTCACCCTAACAGCCCACCTAATTTTTAAAATGAATTCCCTTAAAATAAGGAAACAGAAAGAATAATTTCCCCTAACAATAAAAACAAATCTATGGTGTGAACTCATGTAATCTGAAACTGAAGTTTAGAGTTCCCAGGAATCTTGGTCTATAATATCATTTACCACCAAAAGTAACAATTCCCCAGAAGAATGATTGTTCCAGATCTGGGACAAGAAAAAAAGGTATAAATTATTTTAGAGCATCCTATAGTAACAGATTAATGAGGTCACCTTAAGAAAGACCCTGATGGCACATTAAACGCAAAATTTGATATAATTTAAGCCTCAAAAAAAGAATACTGACTGTGATAAACAAAAGCACTGAGTTAAAACACAGTCTTAAAATAGCAAGGGCTCAGATGAAAGAGAAAATAAAGGAAAGTAAAAAAGGAAAAGTTTTTTCTTAAATGAGAACGCCTGCTGACAAACACAGAAGAAATAATAAACTTTAAAAACCACCATTTTACAATGCTTTGTGTAATCAATGATTTATGCAAGGGTCATCAATGAACACTAAAACTACTTGGTTAAAGGGTGCTGGGAAACATTTCACAATCTGAAACCATCTCCCTGTGGATTACTTTATAAAGAGGAAAATAAACTTTTATAATGGGAGACTTGACATTTGAATCACATGAGCAATCTGTATTACTATACACCTCCTGAATTTTTGTAGTAAATCTGTAATTTCATCTGTGAATGGAATGATCACATAATTTATAGGCTAAGCAGACTCTTTCCTGAGGGGAAAAAACACCATTAATTGAACCAAAACAACAGACACAAATTACCCTGGGTTTATCTCTATATATAAATACCTTGGTCTAAAACATTTGATCTAAATCTAGTCATGACGAAAGAGATAACTGACCTGCTTTCTCTCTCCCACCCCCAAAAGAGGGCTAAATCCTGAAAACAGAAAAGCAAAGGCAGTCCTTATACTAAACAATAGTAAGAGGCTTTTAAATGATACATTAGAGGGGGCAAAGGCATGAAAGGCATTTTAAGAGAAATGTGAATATGGACTGAGCATGAGAAAGAATTATGGAATTTTTTTAGAAGTAATAATAGTATCTTCACTGTGATTAATAATATTGTTTCATTAAGCAAAAAATTTCTATTACTATTAGGTGATGTGTACTTTACCATTTAGGGGTGAAGGAATTTAAGTTTTAAATGTTTCAACCAAAAGTATATATCACACACAGAACAGAAATAAAGCAAACATGGTAAAATGTTAACAACAAGTGAAAGTAAGAGAAAATAGACATGTATTCAATCCAGAAGTTTTTTAATCTTATCTGTAAGTTTGCAGTTTTTCAAAATAATAGACAAAGGGGAAAAGCAAGCCAAAACTTTCTTTTTCCTTACCTTCAAGTCGCTCATCAGTGAATATTTTGTTTGTTTGGTTCCAGGTACTATCTATAAAAATAATTTTTTTCAATGTTATCTCTTTCCATTGGCTACTGTTCAAATTACAGTCATCCTGTCCTTCAATTTTCTTGCGTTTAACAGATGGTTTGTCAAGGTCTTCATTTTTGCCTTTAATATTATTTTGAATCCTTTTTTGAAGATGAGAACAAATATCTTTTACTGAGACAGATTTAGGGCCAGGAAAAACAAGCGCGACCTAAAGCAAAGAAAGTTATGTTAAAATGTGCTAGGACCATTTTTCAAATAAAATTCTTATTGACATAAAACTTTAAGGGGAAAAAATATAATGGCTATCTGAAAAATAAGCGTTCATGTTTATTATGTGTACTTCTTAAATATATATGGTAATGACTTTTATTATTCTCTAATAATTTATTATCACATACGTAATTGAAAGGTATTACATGAAGTCCTCAGATAATAGATGTAGGCAATTCTACTTGCTCTTTGAGTACGGTTTAAAACAGTCTCGTAAGAAAAGTCAAATAAGGTTTGGTACCTTCTTTCAGTGTGTTTTTATTGAGAGTCTGGACCATTAAAGGTTCCTCTAGCTGAACAGCTCCTGATTCAAAGCAGGTACTCAATAAATATTTATTATATGGGAGAATCATGGATAATCACCTCTATACGTTTCTCTGTGTTCTAGAGTTTCTCTAATTAGCAGGCAAGATTATTATTAGTTTAAAAAACCCTCAAAAACATTATAATAAAATGAAATTAAGAACAAAAATCTTGACATTATAGCCTCATTGTTATGAAAGGTTTACAGTCATAACATACTACTATATTTCTCTCTGTACTCAGCAAAGTCCAGGCCTTTGTCATTGTTTTAATTTATAAACATATTACATCTTATCTTAGAGTCTAGCACTGCATTCTATTTAGTCAAAACCAACACACAGCTGACCCTCCAGCAAGTTTCTTAATTTACAAATCACATAGGAGGAGACTGTCCATCTATCTCCTGAGGAACTTTGGTGGAGTCACACTCCCTAAGGGTTGGTCTTTGAGTTATCAACACAACTTCCTAAGGAGTAAGCCATTAGAATTCTCTCTATTTAGGCAACATAATAGTAGCCAGCTGACCAGCGAGAGAAACAAATACATTCCTAGATCCAAAATACTCGGATAATACTTACAAATACAAATGTTCTATATAAGCATATAGATAAAATTGACAGGAATGGTATAATTTTACAAGTTATTCCTGGATCAAATGAGTATATTAGTTTTTAACTTTGTTTTTAGGTTGTTGTTGCTGTGTACTGTTTAGTCAGAACTGACCCAGAGCTGACCCTCTGGAAGGTTTTCAGAGGCAGTTAATCACATGGGAGAAGACTGTCCATCCTCCTGCAGATCAGCTGATGGGTTTGAACCCCTCACTTTATTTCTACTAGGCCACCAGAGCTTAGTCACAGCAATAAATAAACCTTAAGAGACCTAAAATATTCAATGCTTAGGTGATTTTCTTTTTAGGTCTACTGTAATATTTATTATGCCAATTTCAATCAATAAGAATCTAGAAATGCATGAAGAAATTCTCTCTATGCAGCTAGGTAGCCAAAAGAAATGCTCCAATGGCCATGCAGTAAATCTCTTCATTTTGGACAATCCCTCAAAATTCTCTATCAGTCTTTCTTTGTATTAATTTTAACAGATTTGTAATCTGGTTTTTCTGTTTCACCAAATTCGATAGGCAGAAGTATGAAGAAAGGAGAAATTAAAAGTGGAGAAGGTAATAATAAAGAGTAAATGCCTGATATAAGAAGATGAAAAAAAAATCAAAGCAGAACAAAAATTAGAAAAAGCTGAAAGACACACTAAAAAAGTACAAAGGAGTCTAGGGTCATTTGACCCTTGGAAATATCAATAAAGTAAATTACACATATTTTAATGCTATCTAAGGATATCACTAGGTCTTTAAGAAAAATACATTAAAATACATTGAAATAAGTTTAGGAAGGTGAGAGAATTTAAAATTCATTTTTAACAGTAATGTAAAGAGTTATTAAAAAAATAAATTCTTTACTTCATGGTCTTCATATTCTGGAATACAAGGATATGTATAAATATTTACAAATTCAGGTGCTAAGAGCTTTGCATGTATAGCAGTACTTTTCCCATCTGTTTCATTTGGATGCTTAATAATATCAATCTTCAGTGGAAGCTAAAATTAAAATAAAAAGAGATAAGTGAATATAATATATATAAACATTCTAATTTTCACTGAGATAAATGAACACAGTGGCTACATGATAGCTCAAATACAGCACCAATTATGAGAATGGTGCGAGACCAGTGTTTCAGCTGTCAGGCATCTGATTATTACGAGCATTAATGGAGAATAAATAGTAAGCTTATATTAATTTTCTATAAATACCTTCATGGTTTGATACTCATAGTTATCTACAATAGAGTATTAAGAAAAACTGGAAGTTACAAAGCAAATCCATGTTTCTTCCTCGATATTATTGTTGTTGTTATGTACTGTTGAGTTGGAACTGATTCACAAGTAGGTTTTCAAAGGCTGCACCTTGTGTGAGAGGAGAATGCCCATAGAGCAGCTGGTGGCTTCAAACCGTGAGCCTTAGGGTTGACAGCACAGCCCCTTATCACTAAGCAACCAAAATTAAGATTCAGTACTATTGAGTAGATTCTTGAGACTAGAAATCTTTACAGGAGGAGAGTGCCCATCTTTCAACTGGAAGTGCTGGTGGATTTGGGGTGCTGACCTGGTTACCAGGGTCTGGTTAACTGCAACATTATACCACAAGGGTTCCTTAATCAAGGCATAGGATATATTTTCAACTAATTTAACATAGAATTTGCTCATATAGCTCCAATGCCATTTTCATTTAAATTACAGAAATACGTATTCAAGTTCTTGAATTTTAGTATCTTTGCCAAGAAGAACTGTTATTTTTTTTTTCTATTTTAAGAGGAAAGGTTAGACAAAATTTTCACATGTAAAATTCAAGATAAAACTGTTTCTTGTACATCCATTAATGCCAAAGGTATTTTCCTTTAATGGAAACATTACAGTGTTTAGCACAAATAAAACTAAAACTATTCTTTTTAAAACTGGAAAAACAGACTAAATCTAGGGGGTGCAGTCTTTATATAAAAAAATGACTTTTTAAAAAAAAATCATTTTGCCTAGTATTTCATTTTAAAGTTTCATCATTTGTTATGGATTATGTCCTACGTCTGTTCAAAAACAAAACTCTTTTGTATTTTTTGACTTATTACTTCACTTTTGTTTGGTTTCATTTTCTTAATAGAGTCTCTCTCCCATTATAGGTAGGAAAGCCTCCCTGAAATGAGGTCTTCATTTCTAATTTCAAATGACTTGTTATAATAAGCACTCTTTCATTCTCCGATACTGCATCCTATCCTCAACACAAGATTGTAGATACTTATAGTAGGGCAAAAGACTATTTTAACAGTTCTATAAGAGAAAATTGATGCAATAAATTGCATATATTTTACAGTGTCTATTCTAGTAAGTTTTGATGCATGCTATGCTCTTGAACCTAATACCATAAGCTAATGAATGTGTCTGACACACCCAAGTTCTTTTGTGCCTTCCTCCTCCCTCTCTGCCCATTCATTAACAAGTGTTCCAAATCTTCAGGCAATCACTACTTTGCTGTCATGAGAGATTATACATCTCTATATGGTATTTATATATATATATATATATATATATATATGGAATTATATGGTGTATATACTCTTCTCATCTGGCTTCCTTCACTCAGCATAATTCTGAGATTCATCTCCATTATTATATGTAATCCCTGAACTATTTTTTAAAGGAACAGCTGCTAAATGATAATTTTGTCTATATTTTAAAAATTATTATGCAAGCTATTGTCTGCCATAGAGTTGGAACCGACCTAATAGGCAGAGGATAGTATAAACAAAATACTCCAGAAAGACTAAAGCTCACCAATACATATGCCAAATATTTTTCTATCAAAGTTTTGAACTGGGATACCATTTTTCACATTTTATCATTTTTACAAACTTTGCTTACAAGTTCCAAAGAAAGGGCTTAAACCTATTGATAATTTGTTAGAGCCAATTACACAAATTTTACAAGTTGGGTAGGAAGTACAGAAATTATTTCAAATCAGTTCTTTGAAATACTTCTGGCTAAATTCTACATCAGACTTTCTTAAAGACATGCAGTTTCACTTGACACTACCTTCCTTCTTCCCAGGGCCATGCACAATTGATCAAAATCATCACAACCCAGAGAAGGTAGAAATGAGGAAAAGAAACATAGATCATGACAAAGAATTCTGTAACTAATAAAACTGACTTTCTTATATGACTAGAGAGTAGAGCTGAAAACTCTAAGACAGGAGAGCCAAGATTTTCTAAACTGGCTGTCTTGAAGGGTATTATTAATATTAAGGATATGAAACTGAATGATATTGGTATATCATGCTTCTATCCAATTTTTAGAATTATACATTAAAATAAGAATGTACGATGGATGAAAATCTACAAGTACAGGTCAATTATGGAACATCTTTGTTCAAGAATTCTGCTTAGGACCCAGGCTGGATATCTTTAGTTCTCCAACAGCAATCCTGAGACTTCTGAAACTATTGAACAAAGGTGGAAACATGGATCGATCATGCAATTATGTGCTTACATTCTAGTGCACATTTAAGGAAAATATTTCAATAATGTCAGATTGCAGAGTAATACCAAGTGTTGACCTGATCCAGTTTGAGTAGAGCTGCTGTATTTTCATACATAAAACGAATATCAACCTGTTCTCTAACAACCCTATGTCCTTTAATAGATTTCCCACAAACTTTTCTGCCAAAAATGCAATTTGTGAAAAAACGAAGCTTTTTCATATGTGATTGTAAACTGTCCAAAGAGGATAAGAAGACTATTTGAAATTCTAGAACTCTAAACATTCCTTTACCTCCTGATTTTTGTCTCCTTAAAAAAAAAAAAAAGAGCTTTTTGCTCATGTAGACTCTTAGGATAACAAGATTGATTAATTACATTAACATAGATATACTGTTGTTGTTGATACATTGTAGATATATTGTCAGGTTGACTAGCACTCAAAGTGACTCTGTGAATACCAGTGTTGCACCCTGCCCTATGCTGCACCCTTACCATGAACTCCCACATACTCACTTTAATACAGGGGATGCATATCTTTAAATATTGATGTTCAACTTTTAAACAACTAAATTTCTTACTAACCTTTACAAGTGGAATTTGTTCAATGGGAACATTTTCAACAGGGACATAACATGTATAGCAGTAGAACATTCTAGAACCACCACATTTAAGACACTTTGATCTTCCACTTCGCTGAGCTTTCTGAAGAACTTCTTGAGATGCCAAGCGTAAGTTTTGAAGGGGATCTTCTGAAACTATGGAAGTAGTTTGTGACTCTTCCATTTCCACAAATTTTGATTTATTTTCCTCATTTTCTTTGAGAAATACAGGTGGATTGAAAGACATTTTTTCATGAAATCTCAGGTTCAATGTCTATTTTTAAAAAATATATCATAGGTGCACTGTAAAACAAAAGGGAGGACACAAGATAAAACAAACATTTTACTCTTTCTAAGGAAACCTACTAAAAAAATTAATGTATGATTGTATGATATTTTAGTAAAGTTAAGAAATAGTTTATAAATATTAGACATTTTAATACATTTTAAAAACCAAAATGTTGGCATGCTTTAAAAAAATTAGGAAGAACTAAACTTAAAAACAACAAATTGTATTACCCTGCAGAAATGGGATCAGGTCTATCAAAGATGTTGAGATTGGCTCAGGATAGGGCCGGTTTCAGAATCCGTGTATATGTATAGGGGCGCTATGATTGGCAGATGACTCAATGGCACATAACTACAACAACCACCATGAAAATACAAAGGCAGAAACTTAGAAAAATTATTTCCAATATAAAAGTTTGGTACTGATGATATACTTTTCATCAACACTTTTTGTCTTTAAACTGGCACTTTGGTTTTATACCGTGAAGATAACGATTTAACCTTAGTATCAATGACAAATGTATTCTCCCATAGACCCTGAATTTGAATTGATGTTATCAAAATTGAACCCAATCTACTGCTATCAAGTTGATTGCAACTCACAGCAACCTTTAATTCAGACAAGATCTAAGGTTGTAAATATTTATAGACGCAGACTGCCTCATCTTTCTCCTATGGAGCAGCTAGCAGGTTTGAACTGCTCACTTTCTGGTCATAGCACTCTGGTCGAGTAGCCCATAGAGAGTTGATAACCTACAGGCTGCATCTCTCTGTCAGTATGAATCCATCAGTCATTCCAAGGGAGAAAGATAGGCAACCCTTCCTGTGCAATTTACAGCCTCAGAAAACCCACTGAAGGGTCACCCATGGGTGGGTTCCAAGTCAATGGCAATAAATCCTTTTGTTTAGTAGCCAAATTCTTTAATTTGCACCATGATGACATAAAGTTCCAATCTGAACTGTAATTAAAATACACAGTTCCACTGAAATTGGTAAGATTTAGTGGACTATTCTTAAAGATTCTAACTTAAATTAAAACACACATGAGGCATAGACAACCAATTATCATTTGTAAAATATTCCCCACATGGTAAAATATATCCTTAAGAAAATAAAGCCTGATTATAAATTTTAAAATACTAATAATGTCCATTCACTCTTAAGGATACCACTACTTCTAAAAAACATGCACCCTCCAGACCCATTTCCTATCTTATCATTAGACTGTAGGCCCCAAAAACTTGTGTTCTAAAACAAAGATATAAAGAAAAATATTCTGATTGTTGAGGGGAAAGTGATATGTACTTGTTATATTTACACAAGGGGAAAAAAGCAAAATACAGTAAATACTTTTGCTAAGTACTGAGTAAGCACTAGAGTTTTCTGTAGGTTGCTCCGAGAAAGCAATAATTGATAAAGTCGGTCCAATCCCTTTTCCTGCCTCTCAAATAGAAAACTGTACTTACCTCTGATCACTACATTATTAGTTTGAAAAATGGTTTCTGTTTGGGGGAATATTCCCTCAACAACTAGAAAAGTACAAGATACTAAGTGGTCGCTTTTCTCCATGGTTCGGGTTCTTTTAAGAATTGGGACAAGAACTTTGCATCTTAATGTACAGACACAATATTTTATACATAATTTCTGGAGGGAAGTACATCACTTAGAGTCCATCTACAGATTTAGGTAAAGAATGCCTAACTAACTAAACAAACAAACAAAATAAAAGTAAAATATACAAAACTCATTCAAAGGAGAGGAGTAACCACAAGTTTGGGAAGAAATTCAATTAGTATTAGTCCACAGAAATAGGAGATACAAATTCTCCATTGGCCCAAAACATGTCAGCTATCACAACCAACAGAGGAAACGAAAGAAGTTTCTCCTAAATCTTCCAAGTTTGTTTTTTCTTGGCACTACCAAAGGTCCTTATGGTAATATATTAAGTCATTGTAATAGTCACAAGTTATCCAAATCATGGGACTCATATATTTTTTTTTTTAAAAAAAGAAGCTGGATTGGATTCTCATAGTGGTCCAGAAGCTCTTTAGTGGGTTCACAAAAAACTCCTCTTGTTGTTATGTGCCTTTGAGTTGCTTGTGACTAATAACGACCCTACGTACAACAACCCTAAACCCTGCTCTATCCCTTGCCAATCTTTTTTTTTAAAATTTTTTTTAAAAATTTTATTATTTTTGTGTGCATGTACCGTCAAATCAGATCTGACTGGTACAGGAGGAGACTGTCCCTCCTTCCTCGGCAGAGCATCTGGTGGATTCGAACCGTGCACCTCTGGGATTGTAGTTGCAGCTTCTTACCACTAGGCCACCAGAGCTCCCCTTCCCTTGCCAATTTTAACTGTCTCCGACAAGCCTATCACCATTACCCCAGTGATGGAATCAATCCATCTCATCAAGGGTCTTCCTCTCCTGCACTGTCCCTCTACCCTCCCAAGCATGACATGCCTCTCCAAGGACTGGTCCCTCCTTGCAACATGTCCAAAATATGTCAGACGAAGCTTCAGAATCCTTGCCTCCAAACCTCCAAGAAGCTGCCCAGCTTCACCCTCTCCAGGAAGAAACTGTTCTCCTAGCACTCCATCGTATATTCAATACTCTTCTCTAGCACCACAGCTCAAAGGCATCAACTCTCCTTCTACCATCCCTACTCATTGTCCAGCTGTCTGAAGCATAGCAAGTAATGGCAAAGACCATGGCCTTTATCAGGTGCACCTTAGTCTCCAGACCGACATCGTTGCTCCTCAGGAATGTAAATATTATTGTTGTTGCTGTTAGGTGCTGTCCCTTCGAGCACAACTCCTAGGGACCCTATGAACAAAAGATGTGAACCCTGTTCTATCTTGTGCCATTCTCATACTTCTTGACACACAAGAGGCCATTGCAGCAGTCGCCGAGTCAACTCACCTGGTTGGGTGGAATTTTATTACTGAATGACAAAAGAGCAAACAAATTTGTCTTTAAAGAACTGCACACAAAATACTCCCTGGAACTGAGGATGCCAAGACTTCATCTCATATACTTTGGACATGGTACTAGGAGGGGTGAACGCTTGGAAAAAGGTCACAAGTAAATTAGAGGGCCACCCTCATCATCTCTGAAACACTTGGGCAAGACAGGACAGGGATCAGATCCATTGTTCACAAGGTCACTTTAAGTTACATAACAGCAGCACATTAGAAGATAGGTTTAAGCACAGCAGAGATTATGGAGAAGGCATAGTATTGGTCAGGGTTTTGTTCTCTTGTCCATAGGGCTGCTATGTGTTAGAGCAAATTTGAGTACATTTAACTATTGGTCTACTTCTCAAGATTAAGACTCTTGGTAATTTTTCGAGAGTGCATTTAAACTCATCTCTGTGGTGCAACTTGTAGCCAAATAACAGAAAAGCTTATCAGAGGTACTAATTTTTTAAGAACAATAAACCTCACAAGATTAAAAGAGCAGCCTTTCCACAAAGAGAAAGTTCAGAAGGTAGGAAAGCACAGAAAAATGAGTAGAAATAGGAATGACAGGGCAGAAGTAGGAAGAGTGTTCTTTCAACATAGGAACTGTATAATTCATGTCATAAAGAACGTATGAATGATTGACTGAAAAATCAATTTCTCTGTAAACCTAAACCCAAAGCACAACTAAGGGGGGAAAAATGCAGTTCCTGGGCATGCCATGAAAGTCAATGTTCAATGTTTTGATGTTCGATGGGGAAGTGAGAATTTGTATCATTAATTCCTAGGCCCTCTAAGTATACTTCTGAAAGTTGTCCCTATATTTCACTGACTTTCTGACCACACAACCAAGTAAGCATCAAAAATGCCTTCCACAAACGTCTGTTCTCTGCCAAAATCAAACACCACAAATACCTGTGATACAGTGACAGGAGACATTTATAATCCTCTCTCTGGCTCCGCTTTGATGCACACAGTCACACAAGAAGAAGCCAGGATGCGGTGTAAGTCATAGGCAGCTCCCACAAAAGGTTTCTGGAACCATATGGCCAAGGCATCTGTCCTGACCTAGTCAACAACTTAATTCAAATGCTTATGCATCATTTGCTGTAAACATGATTACACAAAATCTTTAAAACAGACCTGCTGTTAATCTCAAATATGTACAGATATATACAACTGGAACTGAGGATTTAAACAAACCCTTAGATAATATAGTTGTTGTGCAGAATGAAAGAATGAAGTGGATTCCTACTCCTAGCAACCTTATATGAGAAACAGAACTGTCCTGCAGGGTTTCAGAGGCTAATCTTTGTAGATATAGATCACCAGAGCTTTTTCCTACAGAGCAGCTGATGCTTTTGAAGCACAGACCTTTTGATCAACAATTGTGAGCTTAACGATGGTACCTCCAGAGTACCTCCAGAAGTCCTTTTTCTTAGGAATAAAATCTTTTTAGTGTTATCTAAGATAGCACATGGCCTGTCTGTAGGCTCAATGGTGGAATATACCAGTTGCTCTGTGGGAGATTTGCAATTAGATGCCAGATGGTGGGTCATCACGGGACTCCATGGCAGTGAGTTTAGAATGTCGGCTCCTCCATAAGAGAAAAGACTTCCCATGTGGATTACAGCTTAGGAAACCCCATGGGGCAGTTGTGTCATATGGGTTAGCCTGGACTGGAATTCACTGGATGGCAAACAATACTTCTAAGGATCCATCATTCTGTCACTTGGTCTGAAAGGATTTTTTCCCTTTTCTTTCTGTCTTCCTCTGCCTCATCTCAAACTAACCAAATTGCATCAATTCTATCTTGTATATAATCTTTATTTCCATCTCAAAGTTAGGACTCTAATTCAGTTCCTGACCAATTCATGTATGGGTTATGGTGATTTCTTACTCTTCTTCATCCACTGAATTCTCATTAGAGGTTCTACATGTTTGGTATGGAAAATTTAATTTGGAATTACCTATAAATTAAGAACTGTGGTGGCATAATACGTTAGTGGTGAGCTGGGTCTGAACCCACCATCCACTCTGAGTGAGAAAGATAAAATAGTCTCTCCTTGGAATTTGCAAAGAAACTCAGTGGAGGGTTGGCATGAGTCCATACTGACTCAAGGGGAGAAATTGTTCTGCAGAGGTTTTTTGTTCTGGTTTTGTGTATCCCTCCTAGTAAGAAGGCAATTCTGTAAGAACAGAATTTGCTCCATTTTGCTTATCCTTGTGTCTATCAATTCTACATGAGTAATTAAATAAATACTTATTCTTATTAACTCAATCAAATATACCTTCAGTTTGGGCTGTTTGGGGGATAGGAATGGGAAAATAGTCTAATATTCATTATGCGGGTGACAAAACCTTGTGTGTTGAAAGTGGGGGAGACTTGATGTGCTTGCTGCTGAAGGTTAAACAACACAGTCTTCAATATGAATTGTATCTCAACATCAAGAAAACAAAACCCCTCACCACTGGACCAAAAGGCAACATCATGATAGATGGAGAAAAGAGAGATTGAAACTGTCAATGAATTAATCTTACTTGGATCCACAATCAAGACACTGGGTATCAGCAGTCAGGAGATCAGGAGACATATTGCACTGGAAAAATTTGTAGTCAGGGAACCTCTCTAAATGATTGAGAATCAGTGATGCCAGTATTAAGGTGTGCCTGATTCAGGCTATTATCTTTTCAGTCATCTGAGAACTGGACAAGGAACAAGGATGACAGAAGAAGAATTGAGGTTTTTGAGATGTGTTGTTGGAGGAGAGTACTTAATATCCCATGGACTGCCAAAAAAACAAACAGGTATGTCTTAGAAAACGTTGCAGACAGAGTATTCCTTAGAGGCAAAGATGACAAAGCTTTGTTTCACATACTTTAGGCATATTCCTAGAAGCTATTTCTTGGAGAAGGACATCAAGCTTGGAAAGATCAAGGGATGGCAAAGGAGAGGAAGACCCTCAGATGTACTGACACAATGACTGCGGCAACAGGCTTGAGTGTTGTCAGAGACTGTGAGGACAGTGTAGGATAGGGCAGTGTTCAGATATATTGTTTATAGGGCTTCTGTGAGTCATATTTGACTCAAAGGAACCTAGTATCAACAAGTATGCTGAATCATGTCTGGGGTGTGAAAAGCTTGTGAACAACAATCTACAGTACAACTTTTAGTCTATTCATTTGGAGAATGAAGGCTGAAGGCTCAGTTCCACGGCAGCTCTAGTGGCTTAGTGGTAATGAGTTCTGCTGCAACCTCAGAGGTACGTAGTTTGAATCTATCAGCTGCTCCATGGAAGAAAGATGCAGAATCAATGCCTGTGAGATTTTTGGTCTCTGAAAACCTGTTAGAGGGCCAGCTATGAGTCAGTTCCAACTAGTTGGTACATATCAATACCAATATCCACAAAAATCACAAGACCTTCTAATATGAGAGCCCGAAGAACCAGGTGGTCCACAGCTACTATGACCTACATTTCTGACCAGTATTCAACAGAAGGTCCCGGAGAGAATGAGTGAAAAAAAGTGGAACAAAATTCAAATCTCTAAAAAGAGGCCAGATTTACTAGGTCAAATAGACTAGAGGAATCCCTGAGATTATACTGGGCTTCCAAAGCCTTTGAATTTTGAACTAACATTATTTCTGGAGATCTCCTTTACAACCAAATGGCAGTTGTTGTTGTTGTTAAGGGTCTTCGAAATGTAGGCAGCTCATAGCGACGAAATATGAATATTTCATATGAACTAAATACCTGAACACTTGTATAATTTTAATCCTTTCTCCAAGTTCATAGGGTTTCCAGAGGCAAGCTATCTCAGAAGTGGATGCTACTCCTGCTTCCAAGCTTGTTTTAATCTGGGAGCTCCACCAAACATTGTCCACCATGGGTAACCACTATCGCATTTGACACCTCAGTGTCACAGTGTTTAGCACCACAGCAACAAGTTACCTCTGTACAGCAAATGGACGGACCAGTGCTATACCACTTAGAAGAATGTTTGACCAAAAACAATTAAAACCAGGCCTGAGGGCTGCAGGCTAAAATCACCCACCTTTGGCTTGGTAGCATCAGTTTCTGTCCACTATGTCAACTGAGCTCTCTCGTTGTTGTTGTTAAGTGCCGTGAATCTTAGATGACTTATAGCGACCCAATGAACGAAAGGCCTTTATAGCCAAATAGCAGATTGATTTATAAAATAATATCACTTATAAGTAATGATCAATGCTACCAATTAGTTAAGTTACCAAAAGCAAAGGAGAGAAGGCAAGAGGAAAGGGATAGCCACTAGATGAATGGAAACAGAACAAACAGAATAGAAATGGGAATGTTCATCCAATATGAAAATTATAACCATTGGCATGGGACAATTTGTATAAAAATCATTGCTAATATGAATGAATTTGCTATATAAACTTCTTCCTAAAATACAACATACGTATCACATTCACATTGAGTCAGCAGCGACTCAAAGCAGACCATCCAGTAGGTTTTCAGAGGCTGTAAGTGGCAGTGAAGGTGACTGCCCATCTTTCTTCCCAAGGAGCAGCTGATGGGCACAAACCACTTGCCTTGCATTGGCAGTGTACACCTTACCTACTAGGCCACCAGAGCTCCCTATTATATATGTAGTTATTAATTTGATTTTGGCTCTTGAAACCTTCTGAGACTTTCTCATCTACCTTCCGTGGAATTTTTACAGGTTCAAACTGTAACCTATTATGCCACCAGGACTCTACATATAGTAAGAATCGGTAGGATGCAAAAGGGGTCAGTGTGACCAGTATGTATTTTGTTACTATAGTATCTAACAAATGACCTTTATGAGCCATCTGCAGAAATGAAGCAAGCATTCAAAAGATACTCTGCAAATCATGGAAAAGGCTCGTAGCTCTGTGCTTCATAATACGTACAAGTCTAACATTTTAAATCCACAGTGCCATACAGGACTTTGCCATGGAGGACTACTGGCCCCTCCCACTACATGTCAAGTAGATGATCTTGCCTCAATTTTTTAAGCACTATGGAGTCTCCTCCTAGAAATTTACAGCTTCAAAACTTGATGTAGGATTGCTAAGAGTCAGAATCCACTAAGTAGTCGTGGAGGCTCAATGAATGGTCTTTAGTTGGCGTGTGAAAGTGTTATCTGTACTTCCGTGCTTTTATTACAGCCCCAAGTACAAATTTAGGAAAAAAAAAAATCAGGAACCTTATTACAAAACAATAATGTTAATATTTTAAATACATACACTTGCATACCTATTTCTATTCCTTTTGCTAAACTTCTTTTGTGAGCATCATCAGGAAACCACTCCAAACTAAAAATAAAATCCAATCCGAGTCCTCGCGAATGATTTTACCACTGGCACATTCTCTTTGGGCATAAAGCAACTGAAAACAGCTGGGGTCGAGAAGGGAAGGAGGTTTGCGAGTCTTTTTCTCGAAGAACCCACAATATTTTAAAGACACGTGCCCGCACAGGGACTGGGGCCGCGATCAAAGGCTACAACACAGAACGACCCCCGAGAGGGCTCTGACGTGGCCAGCCACCCCCGCGGCCGCAGGGCTCTTGCCCGGCCGACTGGTCCCCAGAGGGTTGCGGAGACGCGCGAGGAAACGGGGTGAGACTCAGACCTGCACAGCCCGCGGGTCCTCACGGTCCTCCACGCGCTTCCGCTCCGCCGACTCCGCGGCGCGCGCCGGGCCCCGATTGCAAACGGACCGGCGGAGCGCTTTCCGAGGACACCGGAGGGAGGAGCCAGGCCGCTCGGAGGACTGTTGCTTGGGCGCTGCGCAGTCCCGGGGCAGAGGTAACGAGTGGGGACGACAGCCGGGCGGGGTTCAGTTGAAACCCCTTCCTTCCTCTCGTCGCACACTCTGCTGTTGTTTATTTACAGCATTCTAGTGTCAAACCCCGGAACTGTATACCCAGTTATCACTGAATTTCCCCATCCTAGATTGATCAGAACTACATTTATAAATCTAGGCGCCGATTTAGAAATATACATTTAAGTGTAGTTATGAGGGTAGGGGTTGCTGTTTATCGAAGAGTCAGAACTGACCCATTGTTCACCCTCCAGCGGGTTTTCTGAAGTGGTAAATCACAAGGAAGGAGACTGCCCTTTCAACTCCTGAGGACAGCTGGTGGCTTTGAACCTTGTTATTTCCCAATTGCAGCGCATCTTCTTACCACTATGCCTCCAGAGCCCCTCTGGAGGGGAGAGAAGTAGAAAGAAAAAACTAAACAACAAATCTAAACAACTAAACAACCCCATAAAATGCATTTCTAGCTTGAACTCAACTCACTGCAGGTGAGTTGGTTGTTGACTTACAGCTGACCTAACATCAGGTTTTCAGAGGCAGTTATTCATGGGAGAGGAAATTGCCCATCTCTCCAAAGAGTAGCTAGTAGATTCAAACTTTTGCCTTTAAGATGGCAGTGCAACCTCTTTACCACTAGGCCACCAGAGCTCTGTTCCTTCTTTCCAACCCCAAAATTATATTTGCTGTTTTCCTAATGTGTGCCTTTGAGTTGAAATTGACACATAGCTGATCCTCCAGTGGATTTTCAGAGGGAGTAATCACACAAGAGGAAATTGACCATTCTTCTTACCAGGAGCAGTTGGTGGATTTGAACTCTATGCCTCTTGTATTGCAGCGCAACTTCTTACCACTAGGTAACCAAAACTCCCTGCAAACTTTAATTAGTCGCTATTGTTTGTTGTTGTTATGTGCCACCGAGTAGCCTGCGACTCATAGGCACCCTATGAACAACAGCCCTAAACTCTGTTCTATTCTGGGACAATCTTACTGTCTCTGACAAACCTACCTACCCACATTACCCCAGTCACTGAATCAATCCATCTCATTGAGGATCTTTCTCTCTTGCGCTGTCCGTCCTCCCTCCCAAGAATGACTTCCCTCTCCAAGGACTGGTCCCACCTTTGCAACATGTTCAAAGTATGTAAGAAGAAACTTCAGAATCCTTGCCTCCAAGAAGCAGCATGGTTTGACCGTCTCTAGGATGAACCTGTTTGTTCTTCTAGCAGTCCATGGTATATTCAATTTTCCAGCATCACTTTCCTTCTATCACACCTAGTCATAGTCCAGCTTTCTGACATATAGCAAGTAATTGCAGACTGTGACTGGCTCTGAGAAAAATGGGAATCCCAGAACACTTGATTGTGTTGATATGAAACTTATACTTGGACCAGGAGGCAGTCATCAAAACAACAAGGAAACACTACTTCAAAATTGGGGAAGGGTGTGCGCCAGGGATGTGTCTTATCTCCATACCTTTTCAATCTATTTGCAGGACAGATTATCCAGGAGGCTGGGCTCTGTGAGGAGAAACGGGGCATCAGGATTGGAGGTAGACTTATCAACAATCTGTGTTATGTAGATGACACAACCTTACTTGTTGAAAATGGAGGAGGATCTGAAGCACTTGTTGCAAAGGGTCAAGGACTGCAGTCTTCAATATGATTGAAGCTCAATATCAAGAAAACAAATATTCTCACCACTGGGACAATTGGCAGCATCATGATAGTGAAGAGATAAAGATTGTTAAGAGCTTTAGTTTGCATGGCTCCACAATCAACACTCTTTGTACCAGCAGCCAAAAAATGAAGAGACGAAAGTCTACTCTCAGAGACCTTTCCAAGGTACTGAAGAGCAGCGATGTCAGTTTGGATACTAAGGTGTGCCTGATCCAGGCAATAGTCTTTGCAATTACTTGCTATGTGTAAAAAAGCTGGACAATGACTAGGGATTATAGAAGGAGAAGAATCGATGCCTTCTAGTTGTGGTGCTAGAGAAGAGTATTGAATATACTATGGACTGCTAGGAGAATAAATAGGTTTTCCTAGAAGGGGTGGCCAGGCTGTACCTTGGAAGCAAGGATTCTGAAGCTTCATCTGACATACTTTGGACATGCTGCAAGGAGGGACCAGTCCTTGAAGAGGGACGTCATGTTTGGGAGATTGGAGGAACAGCACAAGAGATGAAGACCCTCGATGAAATGGATTGATTCTGTGATTGGGGTAATGGGGTCGGTGTGTTAGAGACAATAAGATTGGCACAGGATAGAGCAGGTTTTAGGGCTGTTGTACATAGAGTCACATAACAACAACAACAACAACAACCATCATATAGCATATTGGTCTAGTGATGAGGATTTTTATGGTGATTTTCTTTTTCCATGATTATGATGTTTATTAGGGAAGCCAAAAGACAATAGTTCAGATTGGCAGCAGGATGCAATTAGTCAGGACAAGCTTCCTAAATGTTCTTGCAGGCGCCTCAATCTTCAGGCTCACAGTTTTAGGCTAGTGTTACAAAAGCTCCTAGTCCCACATCCTCTTCTCCCTCAGCCCCTTTCCTCTAATGAACTTGAGTGAAGGCTTCTAATGCTGGTTCTATGGAGTGGCAGTCCCAAGGTGAGCTCTGTTTTCATATCAGGCCTCTGGTTCTCTGTTGTGGTTGCTACTCCAGTAGGCCCTAAATAAATTGCACAGGAGTCTTAGGCTCCAGAGGATACACATTCTAAATTCTCTGCTTCTTAGTTGCTGCTTATGAGGTTCTCAGTTTCTGCTGCTGAACCCACTCAATAACAAGACTAGTCAATCCCCTTGTGAATAGACCAACATAATCTGTTTGCATGCCCCTGCCCATTCATGTGGCAGTCAAACTCAAAGTCTAGGAAAGCCATTTTGAACAATCAACCCTTGACACTACATCCCACTCCCTGGTTTTTATAACCTTTAACGTTCAGATATGAAGAATTAGCTTTGCCTTTATAATAACCGTACTCACTACTACATTCATAAAAGCATATAAGCCAACTACTTCATGCCTAATTTTTAATATCACCATTTTAGATAGCCAATATCTGATTTGCCCGTCTCGATCAAACTAGTACTATGAGGAAACAAAGATGCCCCTTTTGCTGAAGAACCTTGTCTGCTTTGGAAACGTTGAGCTCCTGCATTTACAAGCAAAGTCTAGTCCAGAGCAAGCCATCAATCAGGTTGCAGCAATCAACACTAGCTCAAAGCTTGGATCATTTTCTCTTCATCTGATTGGGTTTGGCCAATTCATCCCCAACTATCTGTGGCTAGGTCCAAATGGGCATGAATTATAAACTCAGGAGTTCATACTTCTCCCTGCATTCCAGACCAATTGGTCCCTTTACTCAACTTTAGTCCCCACGTGAGGCCAAGTAAACAAATAAGGGGGTCTCATGGCTAGAATTCTGCTGCTCAGGTGAGCAACCCTTTTGAACTTACCCAAATATCTGTACATGCTAGGCTCACAGTGCTGAAAAAACACATCCAAGCGCAACATGTCTCTTCATTGCTACCTGCCTCCTACTTCTCCTGAGTGGCTTCCTTCAGGTGATCACTATGAGTGAGCATACTCACCAGCTCTTCAAGTCCTGGATGAGGGCTCTCATTGACACCAATTTTACCCTGCTTCAGAAGCCAAACAGCTTGTTCCTTTTTTTTTTTTTGTTCCATTTTTTTAAAAAAGCAAAGACTTTTTTCCTCTCACTGTCCTGCTTACCTTTCTTTGAAATATGAATCTCTTCAATCAAAAGTTTAAGGTGGGTCCACAAATCCATTCAATTAAAAATTTCTCCAAAGTATTGAGTGGGACTTAATCTTTCCTCTAGACTAAGCCCCAGCATTTACTACAAAATTCTAATAAAACAAATTTTAACAAGCTTATCTTCAGGGCACTTTCCTTTGGAGACTCCTGTGTGAAGCCTTTTGGATTTTGAGAAGTGGGTGGTTCTTTTTTTGGTTGAAGGTCTGGTGTGGAATGTTTGGTTGTTTTTATTTCTTCACAACCGTGTGTGAGCTGATTTGAATTAATAGGTTTGGCTAACAACTGTGGAATGGAAGCCTCTTGTTTAGAGCCAATCACGGCCTGTGGTATTTAAAAGTGGGCTGACTCCCGATTTGAGTCTTAAAATTAAATCCACAAGAACCAAAATTTGATCTTGAGAATCCCACCTCAATTTAAAAAACATCTCAGAAACAAGTTTGAGGTCTTGAAAATTAATGAGAAAAGGCCAGATGAGCTGTGGCTTCCCACATGGATGATAAACAGTATCATCCATGAAGAATGCAAAAGGTCATTACAGACAGAGGGGCAGCAAAGATGGAGAAGGATGTGAGAAGAGACTCTGCATATTGCACTAGAGGGCTGAGAAGCCAAAGCAAAGGGAAAAAAAATCAGGAAATTAAGGAGCTGAACAAAAGATTTTAAAGGGGAGCAGGGGAAGAGAAAGTTAAGTATTATCATTAAATGTGCAAAGGGCTAGAGTTTCTCAGTGTTTCTTAAGCTTAAGGAAATAAAGAACAAATTCAAGTCGGTCGAATTGTAATACTTAAGGATGCTATGGGCAGAATATTGATTGTTCCACAAAGCATCAAAAGAAGATGGATGGAGTCCACAGAGTTACTATATCGGAAAGAATTGTTGACATGGAAGAAGTTCATTAAACAGCATATGATCAAGAAGCAATGGTGATAGAGGAAGCTCTAGCTGCTTTGAAGGAATTGGTTAAAAAAAATAAAAAAAAAACAAAAACAAAAAAACACCCAAACAACAAACCAAAACAAGGCCCCAGGAATTGATGGAATACCAATTGACATATTTGAACAAAAAAATGCTGCCCTGGACGTGGTCAACAGGTTGTGGCAAGAAATCTGGAGGACAACTACCTGGCCAACGGACTCAAAGGGATCTATATTTATGCCAGTTCCAAATAAGATTATCCAACAGAGTGTGGAAATTATTGAAC